CTAGAACATTTCAAATAAAGGAGACAAGTGTAACCACACTCTCTACACGATCTTTTGTTTAGAAAAAGTTAATAAAAATAGAAACATCCAGTTTTCAAAACTGTGTGGATACACTTGAAAATCTTTAGCACACTTATCTGTTTTATTTGAGATGTTCCAAATCTCTGGGTATCTGGCCGTTCGAAAATATAAGAATAACAAAAGGCTAAAAAACGTTGCTCTTCCATCTCCTTCTTGCAAGAGAACCCGAAAAACGTTTTTTCGTCTGAAAAGTGAGTAAGATGCCGGCAATTCGAACTTCAAGTAAAATTTTTTCTGATTAATTCATACATGGTTGGATAGAGCGCGATGAGCTGAGTAGGAAAAAGTGGCTTTTAACGTTTGAGAGTAATTTTTACGGCCGAAAAATTTGAAATGGTTGAAGAACCGATTTTTTCGAAAAACCGTTCATTTTCTAAAAATTCAAAGTTTTTTCAATTCAGAGCTCTTTTTCAGTTTTTAAACTATTTTTTTCGGATTCAGCGTTAAAAGCTGAATATAAAAACGATGTTTGATTGACTTCAAACTCACAATTTGATTGAGCCTGGCTTTGGGAATCAGACCATTGAAAATGGTACATGCCTCTCTTATTATCAAAGAGAAAGCTAGAAAGATTTTAAAAGATGCCCGTCAAACTAAAAATTTCAGTTAATTTTGAACTTAATCTATACTATAATATAAAGTGTTTTTTGTTTGTTTGTCTGTTTGATTGTTATGCTATACAAATCCACATGCTTGATCCCAGAGCAACCAAATTTTGCATGGCGTTCACATTCATCAAGCGGAAGACCGTAGGCTATGTGCGACCTCAAAATCTCCACCCACAGGCAGACCTCCCTTGGTAAATATATATATCGTGGAAATTCTTTTTGATAATATTTTAATGGAATCAAGTAGTTTTAATTTGAAGTAATTTTGAAAAGAAAACAGTTAGAAAATTTTAATGGAACAATGATTTTTGTGAGAGATTATTTTTGCGAAATCATCAACATCAACCCGGGCAACGACAGGTAAATTTTCTAGTTAATTAATAATTCTGTCAATACTTGACCAACGAGTTTTTTATTGCATAGGCATACCACCGACGGTGTTCTCTACAAACTGGCCAAGTTTGAGGGCATGTTTGGGGTGGAGAACACCCCCTTAACTTAAACAATCGAAAATCGACTGTTCGAAATGTACTGGATTTTATGCATGTGAACGATGGAATCATGGTGTCGCATTTAATATCGTCAGAAAGAAACAAAGGATTTAATTTATTTGAAAACCGCTAGAAAACAAAAGACAACTTAAGAGAGTCTTCATGAATCGATCGAGCATTCCCGATGAAACGTTGGAACATTTGATTGAACATTTTTTATCGATTTCATCATAGTGTAACATGAATAATTTTTGATATTCGTGTTCATTGTTACAATAACTCGCGATTTTAAAAAAACATGTGTTTTTGGAGATTAGCAATGCGAGCGTGCAAATATGACTGTAAAAGTTTCCGTTAGGTTCAAATTCCGTCTGCGTTTTCAGTTACCGTTGAAATAACGGTAACTATCAGTTACTTAACTTTGTGGTAACTATTTTTTAAGTATGACAGAAATATCCACGCAGCGGCTTAAAATGACTTCCAAAATCATTAAAAATCGCAGTTACAAAACATTGAAGTTATATAATTTCGATTAGTTTTGTTGACTGGCAGGTGTGATAATCAAACCATGTCATTTATTAAAGTTTCAACAGTTTTAGTGGAAGACTAACGATTTTGGAAACCATTTTAAACCGCTGCACGGATATTTCTATCATACTTAAAAAATAATTATCGCAAAGTTAACTAACTGATAATTGCCGTTATTTCAAGGGTAACTGGAAACGCAGTTATCGTCAAAACAACGGTAACTGAAAAGACAGTTACTGTTGTCGATAACAGCCGAAGAAGCAACGGGAACTTTTACAGTCCTGCGTGCGACTATTAACAGGAACAGTTATCAAGAGAGAAAATATCCGAATAAATAAATATTGTAAGTATGTTTGACAAAAAGTAAAGGCATCTTAATAAAGCTCAACGCATGTATCTCTATGTGCTGTTTTATGCAGTCTTAATAAGCCCGCATTCTCTTTCACGTCTCTTGGCTTCTGAGCGGATCTCTTGAAAACTAAACCCAAAAAAACAGATAGTCTTTCGATTTTTGATATTATTGTCAGTATCAAAAATACATTAAAATACATCTTTTCTGCAATTCCCACACTGATCTCTAAATTATTGAAGGAAATCATAAGTTAATCATGTTAAACGCATGAAAATGAAGGCACCAATTATCCATCTTCTTCTTTCTTGCAACAATACGGTACAGCTAACACCTCTGCTCTCGACTGGCATATTAATCAAAAATATTTATTCAGTTATAACCGAAGTGCGGTCGATTTACTAAAAAACTGGCCATTTTAGGGGTCTATCAAAATCCTACATAAAAATCGATCCCTTTTCTCCTCGATGTATGAATTTCTATACAGGGACGTAGCGACCGCGAGAGGTGCCTCTTTTGAAAATGTTTGCTTTTTCCGCAGCAAAATATGATACTATAATTTTATACGAATTTTTTAACAGGAATACAACATTATTTAACAAGACAATTTTAAGTCACCCCCTCCCTGCTTTTGAGTCCTCGCTACGCCCTTGTTTCTATAGCTAAAACGCTGAATTTATAGGTTTTCCATGGTGACAAATTGAACGGGATTCGTTTCAAGCAAAACTAAATTTTCAACTTGTGACCTTTTTCGCTGGAATACTTGATCAGTTCCTATACACTCTTTTAATTATCAACTCATGAAAAGAAGGATATGGACGATAATTAGAACTCACTGGATTAGATTTCATATAAATGAGCTTTTTTGGCCTAAATCAAACAATCATCAGTAATTTTGGTCATATTCCATATACTTAAAATTGATATAAATTTCAAAAATATTCCATCTACTAACAAAATAGTTACAAAAGCAAACTGTTTCTGACTAGTAGTACACTTGTTTGTTTCTCAGTCATTCAAGATCACTTATACAACGAGTAAAGATAATTTGATAGTTCTGAATTTGAATTCGATGACGTAGAATTATTATGTTTCGTGTGACCACTGCATCGATGTTTAACAGAACGGTCAAACAAGTGTTCATTGCTTAATGCTGGTAAACGATATGGGACTTGGCCATCATAATTTGGTTTATACTCTACTTCTTTTTGACTCAATTGAACGAAGTATTGTTCAAGTTCTGCAGAAGGTGATGGTGGTGGGCATAGTCCATCTGTTCTTGTCACTTGATCGTCATTTTCTGATACTGGAAATATTGTATCTTCCTTATCATTCTGCGGTGGTACTACATCAGAATCGATATTTTGAGATAATTTTGAAAGATTATGAAACATTGAGGTCCGATAAATTTTCTTTTTTACTCTTTTTAAAACTACAGGTGGTAACAATATTCCATCACAATTGTTTAGATTAATGGATCGGGTCAACATTCCATCGTCTTTTCGATTTTGTATTGAATTATTTGACGAATAAATATCACAGGATGATTTGAATGACAAATTCTGTTCATTAATAGTTAAATTATTTAAACGTTTTAGCGCTTGTTCGAAGCGAATATGAAATGATTTAGTGTCTCGCTTTGGTACGAATGATGTTTGAGGACCATGACCGTAATGTTTTGGCCCATTTCTAGCCATAAATACAGCATTATTGCAAGGATGTTGCTTCACATGCAATGCTTGACAGGGGTCTAAAAGAGTTGTTCCAACGGGCATAATAAAGCTTTATTTAATATTGTTATTCTTTAAATTTGAGCACATTTACATACAGAATTTTATTAAGTTTACATTGTCAAATTTTGTTTATAACCTCAAAAGTGAAACGTTTTTCTTTCTGTCTTTTAGTCCAAATATAGATCAATATTTCTTTAAAAAATTCACATCCCGATTTTTCTTGTTTCAAGAACAAAAACGGTATTCATTAATTAAACAGATTTTTTTATCAGAACAATAAAAATATATAAAAATAATATCCTCAATCGACATCTCGTCGGATAATTGTTCATTGACACATACACCTTTATCGAGTATTTTCTTTTTTAAAAGTAAAATTCAATTATTGCTTTATTTTCTAATAGTTTCATATGATAGGAAAGAGAAATTGTTTTTCAACATATTTCAATAATATTAACACTTTCTCTGCTACAAAATGGTTACTTAGTAGAAAAAGCAGCCACACAAATTCTCCTTTTTTCTCTCCTTTCAAGTTATGCTTTCGACCAGCTATAAAAAAATACCCGATTCATTTTAAAGCATGCATACACACATCGTACACTATCGCAATGTCCATGATGATTAATTTTAATCATGTTCGGAATATATTTAAGTTGATCGCGAACATCTGTTGTGTGGACACCAAAGTCATGCGGGTTCAACCTGATCTCGATTCTGAAAATTTTATGCTCATTCGAGTTTCAACCGTTTGGTATGAGATTGAGTTGAAAAATCAGACACACAAGACTCTAGTGGACACTCTATCATGATCAATTTATACGTGAGTCTTGCTTTGTCAGCTTATAAAAAGGGTAATGTCCGTCTAAGTCTATTATTCTTTTATTTGTTACGAGCGTTATTCCTGAAATTTTTTCGAAGTTACATCTTTCAACCTAAAAGAATTGCGTGATAGTCTTGTCTGCGCAAAAAAAGCCCACCTTTGAAGAAATCGTGAGATATTCTTAAGTTATGAGTAAGATGTTTGCGTTTGCACCAGGGATCCCAGATCTTCTGATTTCGGCAGAAACATTCTGATTTTGGACTTTTTCTGCCTTGTTTCTGCTCTTTTTTCCACTAATGTCTTCTGGTTTTCTGATTTTCATGTTTTCCATCTGGTATCCCTGGTTCGCACCGTACATTTTATGCATCGTGGAAACAGGCTATTTTGACGAACGATTAATTGTTTCTTTATGCCCTCTTTCACGTGTTGTTTCTACCTTTTTCATAATGTAGGCGAGAGCTTCCAATATAAAAGACCCAAACTGCTTTTGTTGCATAATCTTTATTTCTTTTAGAGACATAGTCAGTTAATAATTAATTATAGAACGTGAGCTAATGATTCTAATGAAAATCGAAATTTGAGGAAGTCAATTTCCCTAACATGATTCTGAAGTTGTTTGGAAAAAGTTTCCTAGTTCTGCACTTGGCTTCGATTGTCCTTAATTATTGCTCTCTCAATTCGTTCCAGATGAAATTTTTACTGTCTACTCTTCTGAACAAATGTTTTCTTGAGCACGACTTTTCACTATTTGGAGAACGGAAACTTTTTATAATAGAAAAGAATACAAATCATCGGTTTTCTCGATAATTTAAATGGACTATTGGATGTTTGAAGTACAAACCACATTTTTTTTTCTACACATCATTTATTTCAAAACTAAGAGTATAGAGTATAATGCGGACATATACCACTGGGATAATTTTGGCAATGACTGAATATTAGTGAATACTAAATAACACTGATGAATTTTTAGAAGATTTGCACATCAACAGATAGGCGAGGATTGCATTTATACGGAATAATTAAGGACAATCGAAGCCAAGTGCAGAACTAGGAAACTTTTTCCAAACAACTTCAGAATCATGTTAGGGAAATTGACTTCCTCAAATTTCGATTTTCATTAGAATCATTAGC